AAACATCTAACTATACTTATGTAATAAATGTTAATGTTCTTGATTTTGTACTTTAGGTAATTATTTTGTACCAAAAAAACAAACTCTTATATATTATATATTAAAATCAAAAGTATCTTGTTTTTCAAACCCTATATTAATGAATGCAATTTTAAGTAGATATACTGATTTCAATATTTTTAATTCTGTTTTATAATTTTTCATTACTTTTTTCACCGACCTATTTTCTGTCTGAACAAATTTCTCAAGGCTAAGGTAGAAAAATAACAAAACAAAACTTCCTTTTTATCCTTCCTTTCCCAACATAATCTGTGGTAGAGATAATGAAACGTTGTCATGCTATTGGAAGATCAGTCTCTAGTTAACACCTACCTTTTTCTTTTTGATGATATTCCGCAAAGACCACATCAACAGCATTGCCGATAATGAATAGTACAACACATAGGTCAAAAATTGTTTTGTGGACTTTGGGGCATTCAACACCTACCCCATAACCCCAATGTCCCTTAAAGGGCTGAAGGATCGCTACTGGTTAAAGGCTAAAAACAAAAAATCCCCCCCCCCCCCCCCAAAAAAAAAAAAATGGGAACTTTTTCCTGTTCACCTGACCAGAGGTGCAAATCAATTCGGTACCTAATCATTTCAACACCTGTAGAAAAAGTCAACTTAGCACCTTCTTTTAGATTTTTGCAATTGGTTTGTCAATTCAGGACCTAGTATTATATTTGCCTTATTGTATTTTTTCTTTTCTTTTCTTTTTTTTTTTTTGGGGGGGGGGGGATAGGGTGAGAACATATTTTTTCTCTGTTTTTATTGTCCAAATATTTTCTAGTCGTGATGCAGGCCTTGGTAAAAGTTGAAAATATCCAGACCTCATCATTTTATAAATCAATTAAATGCTTGATATTTTGAACAATAGATGTATAGGTTTATACATCTATGTTTGAACTGAAACAGAAAATTTCGCCTCAAGAGACGCTCTTACCTTTTAAATAAGCCTCGAGTGAAAATGAAATATGAAAAAAATACGGATTTCTTGCAAAACACCATGTTAACCATGGACGAAGAAATAACTACCCCGGGTGGCGAATTAACCAGGTGCCACTATAGATCATTTCGAAGGATTTCGGGTTTTATCTCCCTTTTCTTTGTGGCCTAAAGGTAATTAAATTCTCTTCATATATTTTTGTTTGACAGTCTTTATTTCAAGTATTTTACTTTGTAGCCATAAGTATTGATACATGCAAATTTGGAAATGATTTCGTATTAGTGATAATGATCATATCAATACCTTTTTTATGTTTATCTGAATGTTTTCTTCTTCAAGATGTGAGATTTTTAGTCCGTAAATTATATTTAAGCAGCGTATGCATATCGTTTTGAGTGGTCTGAATAAGTTCAAAAATACAACATGGATGGATGCGTTCTAGTATATTTTGTATTGAAAATCGAAATTGTCCAGTTTTTAATATTTTCTATTGTAATAAATAACTATTTATCAAGAAAACATCAATTGTTATAAGATAGGTTTTATATCAGAAATCTATATTTAAAACTATCCGACCGGCAGTAAAATCCTTTCCAAAGTGGGTCGTCCGTTTGGCTGTAAGAGTTGTACAAGTACGCAGTCACGTCCGGTTTGAATAGGGGCGTTAAATCCGAGGCCTCATATAAAGAAAATGCCACGCTCTTTTAACGTGAGGAATCCTTGCAACAACTCTAGACTTTTGAGGGGTCCGTATGTGACCTATTGCAAAGCAAAATTTCTGTCCCTATCCAATATACCCTCATTTTCCAATTGCAGTCAAAACTACTAAGAACTTCACCCCGGATGCCTCTGTTGCAGGACCTACCTATTGTATTTATTGTTAATTTGTTCTCGAACCCGTTCTCAAATAGTATTACCGGTCTGAATTATAATGATAATATTTTTGGCAGTTCACGCAAGTAATGCAGTAAATCAAAATGGATGAATTACATACTATATTTGTGATTATATAAAATGTTTTCTAATTAGTACTGCCCGTTTCTAAATAATTGTATCCCTTTTAAAGTAGTTTCTTTCTTCAATTGTCATCGATAAAGAAATTCATATCGGTCAGAAAATGGACACTTCTTTATCAAAGCATTTACCAAGATGCTGACTACAAGTACAGTGTAAACAAGGACACAAGGTCATGAAACCACCTTCATAATGTTACCTTCTCAGTCTTGACAAGTCTCTTCAGAAAGATGGAAGCGTTAGACACTTTGAGATATGTCAACCCACTTATATTATTTTTTTTCTCTCATAAAAGCATGTATATACAGTGACGTTAATGATACTAAAACATGTGAATAATGTGTGTGACGAGTTCAGATGAAAATGATTTATTATACCTACATACATAGTTACAATGTAGTCGTATTTTGTCTTCAAAGAACTGATTTATCACAAAAGCAAGTAACGAATACACATGATACAAACATTCACAAAGAACGGTAACGTATGTCCGTAAATAAGGATGAAAAAGAAGACACGTGAGCTTGTTTACAAATATTTGCTAATACCGTAAATGAGAAAAAAAAGTTTTCTTCTTCTCTTCTTTTTATTTACAGAAAAACATCAACTGGTTGATAATTACTTCCTGACGCATGTCTGATTTAGTAATATTTTTAATAATTACAAGATTTATTTTTCTAATTTGCTTATCAATTTCTCATTTTTTTTTACATTTTTGTTATATGCAAGTATACTTAGGGCTGATAGCTGTTAAAAAAGTCTCTTTAATAGATGAGAAATAATATAAGGTCACCGATTGTTTTTTCTGTTCAAATCATTTAGTATGAATTACATTGTTGAAAGCGACTGATTATATAATGAAGCATTCGCGATGTTAAGGATATTCGCTCCTCTTGTTTTTGATTTTTTGTCAGATATTCGGAATCCTCTGGTTTAATCCATGTAGTGGCCCGCTAACCCCTACTTTTCTTTTCATAATTTGATTGCATATAGTTTAAAATGACATCTTTTGAAAATGTTATTAAATCCTTGTAACTTTTATTAATTTACTGTTTGCAAAAGTATGAATTATTCGAAATACTAAGGATTTTCTTATCCCAGGCATAGATAACGTTAGCCGTATTTGGCACATTTTTTTTGGATTTTGGGTCATTAATGCTCTTCAACTTTGTACTTGTTTGGCTTTCTCACTACTTTGATCTGAGCGTCACTGATGAGTCTTATGTAGACGAAACGCGCGTCTGGAGTACTAAATTATAAGCCTGGTACCTTTGATAACTAATAACCACCAGAGGTATTCTCAACTTCAAACCTACTTCAAGGTTATGAGGAGGAAAGTGTTCTCATTATACGAGCTTACTAACAGAGTTATTTTCAACTTCAAAACTACTTCAAGGTTATGACGCGGAAAGTGTTCTCATTATACGAGCTTACTAACAGAGGTATTTTCAACTTAAAAACTACTTCACGATTATGAGACGGAAAAATTTCTCATTATACGAGCTTAATAACAGAGTTAATCTCAACTTTAAAACTACTTCAAGGTTATGAGGAGGAAAGTGTTCTCATTATACGAGCTTACTAACAGAGGTATTTTCAACTTCAAAACTACTTCACGGCTATGAGGCGGAAAATGTTCTCATTACACGAGCTTACTAACAGAAGTATTCTCAACTTCAAAACTACTTCACGGTTTTGAGGAAGAAAGCGTTCTCATTATATGAGCTTACTAACAGAGGTATTCTTAACTTCAAAACTACTTCAAGGTTATGAGTAGGAAATTGTTCTCATTAAACGAGCGTACTAACAGAGGTATTCTCAACTTCAAAACTACGTAAAGGTTATGAGGAGGAACGACTGCAATTATCTACCAGCCGTTTGGTCATCACCGTTCTCTTCAGGGTCTGCAGGCGGCCTGTTGTAAGGCAGAATTGCTGCCCTTATCCAACATACCCTCAGTTTTGAGTGGCAGTCCATGTTTTTTGTCCTTCGTTCCGGTCGACTACCAACCTTACAGAATATACCTATTGCATTAATTGTTAATTTGTTTTTTTCCTAATTATGTATATACACATAATTGCCTCTGGACGTTATGAAAAGAACTACCAATTAACCAATCGATCACTATCACAAATTTGTTCATCGCTACAATATCTCTTTTTCTAATCTTCATGCGTGACAAAGATCAAACATAAGTCGTACAGTGAAATGTGGTTGCGTTCACCTTCGTTCTTTATTTTTGAATCTTTATCTCGTTGGCAATAGTTCTTGAGGGTAAGGGTTTTAGTTTTAAATCAGTTCTTAAAGTTTTGAACAGTATTTGTTTCAAGGTTTTTTTGTTTGGCCATGTTGTTATCTGTTTTTACTGGACTGGTAGTTTTTGATTGCTCTTTGGTTTCACAAATCTTACATTATTAAATGTTTTTTAATGTTCATGTTTTTACTACTGATTAGCCTATCACTTGTTGTGAATGCGGATTCATGTGACCCATTCACAGCAAGAAATACCTGCCAAAGCAATGCTCAGTCATTTTGGAATTCATACGATTCCTTTTTCCGCTCCAATATTTTGTCTGTTTTTATGCACCGTCTTTGATATTAAACATGTTAAAGAGACATTATGTTTTTGTGTGTGAGTTCATCTATACGTGCGTCCCGTATCAGGTAAACATTTTGGTAGCAGGTAGTTTGTATTCATATACTCTTGAAAATCAGTACACATGTTTATAATGAGGTGAACTGTTTAACATGTATATGCCAAATTATGGTTTTGACCCAGATTTTACGGTTCCCCGAACATGAAATGCAGTTTTGAATTTATGGTAATTTGAGGTCACATCAACTTTAGAACCTAGTACACATGTCCATAATGAAGAGAAACGGGAAATGGTCCTGTGTTGTTTTAAAATCGTTTAATTAAGTTTGTTCTGTTGCTATGTAAAAGGGAAATAAATTGTAAGTATATGTGTTAACAATGATACAAAAGAATAAAAAGTCATAAGTTAAACGGTTATTTTATTTCCCTCCTCAATTATTTAAAATAAATCAAATGTCAGTACAGTTCAAGATAATCAGGACTTCTGAGGCTGGAATATCCGGGTTCAGCAATATTGCCTCTATTTAAGGCCAGATATCGGGTGTTTTCAACTGTGTTGATGGTATTCTGTGCTACATAAGACTTTAACAATCTTAATTTCGATCTGTAAACATTTCTATAACGTTAGAATACAGAGAGAGGCGAAAGATACAAAACTCATTAGTCGAGAATAAACTGACAACGCCATGGCTAAACAGAAAACGTCCAACAAACACCAGTTCACAAAACAAAACAACACAAACCTTACCAATAAAGAAAACGATTCCAAATACATGTATACGTGTTTATAGCTGTACAACTGGATAGCAAGATACTTTTACTTTTGTATTTAACTTTTGACCATAAAATCAATATTAACACAGATAAGGACAGTTATAAGAGTTATCGATCTTACTCTTCTTAGCTCTACATTGGATTCCATGGTTTTGTGATGTCAAACAAAAATTTATATCTGACGTAATAATGGTTAAAACGACATTTTTAGTTTGAATCGAAAGTATAAAGTCCTCTTTCAATTTGCCGGTGAAACAAAATCGAATGTCAGATTTTATTTTATTGATATAAAGTTTGAACTGTTCGACAAAAATTATAGCATTTTTGATCTCGTCGATGTGATCACTTGACAACAAGCTATATGGTGAAACCTTCAGCTGATATTTCTAGGCATCAATACTCAGAAGACCTGTTAACCCGGTCACCTTACTGCGAAATAGACGGAATTTAATAGTATTTTTTTTCTCTTAAAAGACCAATAACTACATTGATGCGAGTTCTAGACGGTTTTGAATGTTGTGTTAAACATTTGGTTCTCTCCAACATTTTTTTTTCGCACATATGAATTTTATGAAACATGTATCATACAGACTGAAATGGAAGCTACATAATTACAAATAAATCAAAGATAATATCATCAAAATGCTGAACTTTTTGATTGACAACACATTTGTTGTGATTGTTGGATTGATATTTCAACCAACAGTCGGGATTTCATCTAAAAGAACATCACATGATATAGATTTTTTATGATCAGTTTTGAAATTGTTAAATAACCCAAAAAAAAAAGAAATTGAATGCCATATCCCTTAAATAGTTTTTTCTTTCCTATTATATATCTGTGATATCAATAATAAATTAGTGACATTGTCTCAAAGAATAAATTAGTGACATTGTCTCATGCATGTCGGTTTGTTATTTTAAATTCTCATTACCAAAAGGATATTGCGTCTCTGATAAGTAATAGCTCACCTAGAGTAGATAACCAATATAACGATGATGAAAGTCATAAACGATACAATGGCAGTCAATGTACCTGCAAAAACTTCAACTGGAAAAAAAATTAATGACTGATTTAGATAAAATGATCTCTGAATTTTGAGTTTCGTCTTATCTTGAATAACAGACAATTCTGAGAGATAAAATGCAATCAAAAATTTTTCTCCTGTTATTTGGTTCTACAGAAGTGTCTTGTTAAATCGTTTAATACCGTAACAATGTCATTATTTGGTCTGTTTTTGCTGTTCGTGTCAAATCATTTTCGTTTAAATGCTATTTAACATTGATTAATTTTGCTTTCAATCATTATAGCCCTCAATGTACAAACGGAGCACATTCCCAAAAGAACAATAAAAAAATGATAAGGCACAGAAAACAACCTTGATAACAAAAAACGAAAAACTACGAAAAGACAAATAACAGCTAGCAAAACACTACACAGAAAACTGAAAACAGAGATACACAATCAGTTGCTGCCATTGGAGGACTATCAGTTCCCGACGAGACTCGTGCCCACTTGTTAATGATTTGCTACTGGCATGGGCTAGATGTAGAATGTGCAAGAGGATGCATCTACCTCAGCCTACTGTTCTTTTATGTTCATCTGTTTTATATGGGTTTGTACTACATCGAATTGGTATTGCAGATATCTAGAATAAAACGAGTAATATCCACTAAGCTTGCCTTGCTTTGGTATTTTGACGTTTTTGAATGCTTCATGTTGACTGTCAAAATCTTGTTCATGATTTGTTTTATAGATAATCTAAGGTTAAAGCAACAACGGTAATGTTGCTTTTTTTAATGCACTCTTAAAGTCGTTTTTTTTGTGTATCCGAACTTATAGGAGACACTTTCTCTGTCGACACACCCGGTTTTGCACCTTTTGGAGTTCATGCGATTCACTCAGTTTTTGTTTTGTTATCTTGATTTTATTATCTTCATTCGATTAACGAGATTTTAACATCGATAAACTACATTCACCTTAATTTATGACATTCGATATACCCATAATATCTGGTGAAAATACATGTTATTAACAATCATAAGTCGTTCGGGAGGAAAACAATCATACTATACACGCTTTTCAATGCTTTACTATAAATCAATTCATCTTGCATGGTTATATCAAAATCTTTGAACAGTTTTTTTTTAACATAAATAACTATACATGTAACCTCTATGTTAAGTGTGTACTGTTGTTATTAATAAAGATTGGTTCAATTGTATAACTTATATAACTGCAAATGATTATGCATGCTAGCGAAATATTGTACTATATTTATCATTCTTTGGGTTTACTTTTAATGACCAATATTATTCACATTCGATATGTAACATAGAGGATATGCTATTTTCGTTTGCACATTTGTTTTCCCTTCTTGATGATTGGAATGGTCGCTCTAAGCGCATCTAAGACTGAAAGTGATTAATATTTACAGCTTCATGTTAAAATCCTATACCTGGACTGAAATATGTTTCAATTACCTGAAACTGAAATGTTTGATCTATCCTCGTTGCACGTTTCAGCAATAGAAACAATCTCAGAAGAACTTGTAATCATTGGAGATGAACTCTCTGTTACCATTGGAGTTGTAATCTTATGAATTAAAGTCAATAGATAAGGTAAAGTCGTTGGCATTTGAGGACTGTTCTTTAATGAACCAGTTTGCTCTACAATATTTGACAACAAAATACAAATCAGGTATAAAAAGATACCACTGCCTAACACTATTATTATCTGATCATTTAGGAATCATTAGCATATTAATGTTTCATTTTTGAAATTTTGATATTTGTTATTGATAACAATTAAAATGGATAATACATGTTATATTTTTGAGCATTTGTATGGTAATATATGGCTTGAAAACGAAAAATCATTTTTATTGGTAATATTGTTGATATTTTTGTTAGATTTGTAAAACTTTTTTCGAAACAAAATTTCTGCAATGCCAAGGGAATGAACTAGTACAAGTATTCAGATGCCGAAAAGATTCACGGAGTCCCAAACAACACATTAAATCACGTATGCACACACGCACACACATACACATCCTGATACCGGATATCATTACAGCAAATTCAATAAGATATTTGTTCCCCAAAGCATGCAAAGCTATTGTTTTTGCTTGCGTTTACATGTTTGCCTGCTGTTCCGATAATCATTTTGGAACCATTTTTCAATGGTGTACCTGTTGTATCTGTAGTACCGATAGCCTTCAATAGAGTGTTACATAGCACATAAATAAATCATCAGGGTTGTTGGTCACGGCTGAAATATTTGTCAATATTTAAAATGTTGGATTATTTGTTATTTTTATTACACCCAATTTTTTTTTCAAATAACGTGAAAAATATAACGCATGACAACTTTTCCGCTAGTTTTCAATTTGTTTCCAAATCACCAAGTGTTGTTATTTATGAGAGGAGAAAAATACGGGACTAAATGCACGTGATCAATATATTTTCTTTAATGGAATTCATTGAAACTAATGTAAGCCTCAGGAATAACTATGTTCGTCACTGATGAGTATTTTGTAGATGAAACTCGAGTCTGATAAACAAAATGTTTATCCTGGTATCTATGATGAGTTTATCTACAACCACTGTGTTGTTGCCACTTCTAGTAGAGGTTTCTTCCCAAAGGGTATCACCAACCTAGTAGTCAGCACTTCTGTGTTCAACTGGACTATCATTGATATGGTCATGATTATAAATCAACTGTTAACAAAACTTTATTATTTTCGAAGGATTTTCTAACACAGGAAAATATTACTTGAGCTGTATTTGGCGAAAGCTTTCGGAATTGTGGGTCCTCAATTCTCATCAACTTCATATTTTATTTGGACTTTATTTTGAACGTATTTTATGAGTTTTTTGTAGACGAAACGCTCGTCTGATGTACAAAATTTTAATCCTGGTATCTATGATGAGTGTATTTCCGTATAGTGTGCTGGTAATCAGTACACAGTAGCTACCTTACCGACTGTTAATTTGGTATTATTGAATTTGTGAATTGTTTGCTTGTAATAAATAAGAGAACGTTTTGTCCTTTTCACTTCAGAAGTAATATAAAACGAAATAATATCAATATGATTTATTAGTCTGGCGCATTTTATTAATACTATTTAGATTCTTTTTTATATTCAATGCAAAACTGCAACCGCTGATAAAATTGTACATTTTGAGATACATTCACTTCATCAGACTCATCTAAAACGATGTTTTGCCAAAACAATCTTAATTTGTTTTAAATATTAATGAAAGTCAAATAATTGATTTTGGGAAAGATTGCTGCTAATCTTTAATTTAAATAAATCCAAGTTTTATACATTTGAGGCAAGACACTTATGCACATCAGTGATTAGATAAATTATCATATGTATTTATCTATCTAATTCATTATTATGATAATGGAACATTTGTACATTCTTGGCAATTTTAAGGGCTGAATAGTTTGTCTTATCATAAAAGAGAGGCAAAAGACACCAACCGGAAATTCAAACTCATAAGTCGAAAACTAACTGACAATGCCTTGACAAAAAAACAAAAACAACGAAAAGACAAAGAACAATTCACAAAACACAAAACACAGCATAGAAAACGAAAGTCTGAGCAACACAACCCCCATCAAAAACCGGGGGTAATCTCAAGTATTCCCCTTAGATAAAAATGGACATGCTTTATTTGTCCTTCCATATACATGATATGATACATAAACATAATTAAATTTTGGAAATTAACATTTTTTATCCATTTCAGCGAATATAAAAATGATCTTAACGGATATACACAATATAACACTAGATGAGCAGAAGTTGAATACTTGTCCCGAGCATCTATATTCAGTATTGTTTTAAGTTAGGCTTGTGTTATGGTATATTTATGTTTATCATGGTTTCTTTATTTCATTGTTCTTTTTTTTATTGTTCTTCTTCCATTTGATTATTGATAGATATGCTAGTATCAACTAAGTAAAAGATGAATATGTCTAAAGACACGAATGCCCCGGCCCCACTCAGGCTTTGCAATTTTCCAAGTTAAAAAAAGGGTATAAATATAGGTCGGTAAATGACTCACTGCCCACATTCGAACTTTGTAGTTGTGATTCTTAGCAAGAGTTTCATAAAATTTGAATGAGGAAAACTTAAGTTAGAGTACGGAAACGAAAATGTGATGGACGAAATGACGGACGAATAGACGGACGAAAAGACGAACACTCAAGGTTAACACTTAATGCCCCCATTGCATACGTCGGGGGTATAGAAATGGAACATATCTAGGTCGGGTCATCTGTATCACTCAGATATTCCTTAACGGTCAGTTTGGTCAATAAAATCATGCATCTCTAAAACCTTGGAAGAGATGACGTAATAGCTCCTTGTAAACATTATACATCTTTTAAGAAAATCCTAATGGGAAATACTAGCACCAGGCAAGGATTTCTTCGTTTTCAGGATCTAATTTTAATTGTTTCGTTTGTTGGTACTTGATAGAAAGTTGAATATAATGAGAGACTATCTCATAAGATTAAAACAAAGGATTTCTTTTGACAGACATATTTATTTAAAAAAATCAATAAAAGAAAAGAAAAAAGATTAAAAAAAGTCTTAAAAATTGTCGATTTTTATTTCTAATTATCATTTAAAAACGGTCAAATTTATGACAATACTATTTTTTTTTAAATAATTGCTATTGTAAATGTATATTGTTCAATGCATTGGCCCGAAATCGATAATTAAGCGTTGTTTACAATAAGTCCTTTTAATGATTCGATTAACTAATGTTGAAATTTTGTAGACTATGAAAGACATCGATCATCAAAAGTTAAGATATCAGAGCTACGAATTTTCAGATATGTGTGATTTTTTAAAATTGACTAATCATGATAAAATACATCACAATTAAGAAAAGAAAACCATGCAGGAATTGAACATAGCAGATAATTATCACATGATACCGATAGACAATATACCTAACAGATCTATTTTATGGTGAACGTTTCTATTAAATATCACAGAATTTTACAGATAGTGTTGGCAATGATAGAACTATATTCAATATTGATATACAATATTCATCAAATACCTACCTACACACCGATACAGCACATCAAGATATTTAGGCGTAGTCCTACATGGATCACCGAACAACGTCGTTGATGCTTTTAATGTACAAGAAGGTTTTCCATCACATCTATAATAATAGTAACAAAAAAAAACACACATGACACAACTGTATGTTCACCATCGAATCAGTTTAAAAACACGATCTGCTTTAAAAATAACAGTAAAAGCAATGTCAGTATACTGTTATTAACTGATACTTAATGAGGTTTAAATGTATACAAAATTTAACAGCACTAGGTCTTCTTATGTTTATTTCTAGATAGAATTTAAACATTGATTTGGACTTTGTTTAAATCTTCCCCCTTTTCTGGGATCTGCCTATCTATCCAGCGAACATGAGATCACATCGTGTTATTGTTGTGTTCTTATTGCTCAATCTGAAGTTTAGCCGTCTGCTATTCTTCGGTATGGTTTTTAATTTTCATCATCTGCCTCTTCTTGTCGACTTGTTCCTTATTCATAACTTCATACAGGAAGTATCGAACTTTAAATAAAGTATACGACAGATACAGCTAAGTCTGCCTCATATCTTGACTTACATCTAAAACTTGACCATGAGGGCCGGTTGAGAACAACATTTTACAACAAAAGAGATGATTTCAGATTCCCAATTGTGAACTTTCCATTTCGATGTAGCAACATTTCAGCAGCGCCTGCATATGAAGTTGTTACGATAATCCAGAGCTTGCGTTTCCTATTTTGATATAGATAGAGGTTTGCTGCTCGCAAGGAAGCTATCAAATAAAGATTTCCAAGTGGCGAAGTTTAAATCATCCCTTCGAAAATTTTACGGACGCCATCACTAGTTAGCTGACCGTTACGGAATATTTGTTTCACAGATGACGACAGATATGTTCAAATCATCGTAACCACAATCCCGCACTTCTTTTCCCTGTATGTGACCTACCGATTTAGACTTATCACCGGGTTTGTACTTGCACGAGGAACACGAAGGGTGCCACATGTGGAGCAGGATCTTCTCACCTTTCCGGAGCACCTGAGATCACCCTAAATTTTTTGTGGGTTCGTGTTTCTCAGTCTTTAGTTTTCTATGTTGTGTTTTGTATACTGTCGTTTGTTATCTTTTGGTCTTCTTCTTTTATTGCCATGGCGTTGTCAGTTTATTTTCGACTTATGAGTTTGAATATCCGTTTGGTATCTTTGGCCTCCCTTTTTCTGCATCGTATATCATAACCTACCTTCCTGCTGCAATAGCAAATGATCGTCTAGCTGAACACTGTAAATCCCATTCTGAAGAAGGTGTAGGCCATGAGTTTGGACGACATAAAAATGAGGTAAACCGTCCATAACTGGCACCGATTATTCTGAGAATATCATCGGTTGATGAACAGTTTAGCCGCATGATAGTGTCTCCACAAGCAATAAAATATTTGTGTTGAATAGAATTTAAAACTACAATAGAAAAATAATCAATTTTGTAACATGATTATGGTTTATATATATACGGATGTGCATTACAGTCTGTACTGTGTGTATAAATAATCTCTTTAAATGTAAATTGCTATCATTTTCGTTATCGAGTTTTTTGTTCGTCATGTACATTTTGATGTTGTTAAAAAAATCAAATGATGTGTCAATATTTTAAAGTTTGCATTTTGATGTATGAAAATCAAAATAAACTAAATTCCAATATATCATTTTTCTAATGCACTGTAAATGTTATGAATTGATTAATGTGTCTTAGAAATTAATGCTACAATAGTGAACAGATGATCAGTTCAGATATCTCTACCATTTTATCGATTTTACATGATGAAGAAAAATTCCAGGATTATAACGTAGTATTGAACCGACAGTATGAATACGGAAATTCAGATTGAGAAAGTTATGTTCTTTCGGCAGAAAAAAACCCATTGGCCTTATAAATAACAAAACCACCTGTGAAGGCCCAGAGTAGGATATTTCAATCAATTGCTGATTTTTCGAAAGGGACTATCTGTATTCATTGATAAAAAAAAAACATGACGATAAATCTTAATGAGATAGTTATCGAAAATAAAGGCAAACACCTGTCAAATGTTGTTTTATCTATGATTCTAGTAAGTGTTTTACAACACATCGTTCCGTGTTTTAACTAGGCCCTTTACAATAATTAAAGAACCTGTAATGACATATAATAAAACGTAATGAAAATAATATAATTAACTGTTTTTGGAGTATACATCATGTATATATCACTTTGGATGTTTTTTTTAAATTACTTGCTTTTGATGGTCCGTTCAATCCGGTTGACAGTTATCAATTGTTTACTATTTACACTACACATCAAATAATCTAAACAAACAGAATATTTCATATGGTCGTTTAGTCTATTGAAAAATCCGATTGCAGATTTATCTACTGCAACTCGTATGAACCTTTCCTCTATGAAGAAAAGGTTAGTATGCTAGATATGATAATGGGAAGTGGGGTGATATAATTAATTCTGTACATTTTCTCTTTGACGACATTGATGTATGTTTCGGAAATACTTGTTTTTAACAGATGAAGTATTAATTTCGCCCCTCTATAAGCAGACTTCATCCTATTCTGTTTTGAATCACAGTTTAAGGCCAACAGGCAATAGCCATTCAACGATGTTCAACATCAGTGAAGATCTGTCAAAATTTCATTTAATTGATAAATTTTATAACAATAGCCATAACATAAATGTGATATTTTCCTTAAACAATCAAGAATTCTCTAACTATGCTGTGGAAATGTATCCAATGGAATTTATTTTGAATAAATTTCAATCGCAATAGTAAGTTGTTTTTATAGATTTTTCGTTCCTAATTGAAAATATGCACAGTGCTAGTTTTTATACAGTCGTTCTAAAAAGCATATTTTGCCTTTCAGCGCCACTGCGTCTTCAGTAGACAAAACGTGTCCGACGTAATAGATAATAAACCTGACAGCTTTGATATGTTTTCTTAATGAACTTCGTTTGTAAGACCTACCTTCTGCTGCTGATAAATTAATCATAAATATCCAAATAAATTGGAACAATGTCGCGTGAATCATTCTAATTGAGGAAAATAGAGGAATGAAAATATATAGTACTTGGTTTATTTTGTATGAAAATCATTATGTGACACTTGAAAACAGGATGAAGAAATATCATTTAGGGTATCTTATATAGGGCTAAACTTGTGTTAAGTTATTATTCAATTTATTACATTAATATTTATTTTACTTTATCATTTGTACCAACGTATATATCTTTTATTCGTGTCTAAAAACTCGAAACACATTTTGTCAAGTTGTTTTCATAGCTTTCATCAAACACGATAAGGATCAGAATTCTAAAAGGCAAAGATTAATAAGTGCATTTTGAACTATAGATGCCGGAATAGGTTGGAAGTTAATTGCACACCCAACCAAAATAACATCAAGAACCGCCGAATTAGAAGTTTTAGTTCCAATCTCCCTTAGAAACCACATTTTGAATAATGAAAAGTTAAATTAGATGTTTTCCCCGAAACCAGATATGTGTTTATTCCGTTGTGGCCGAAATATAGTAAGCAAATACCAAATATCTGCTAAAAGAAACAAAAAACAAATAGGATTAAAAGAACCTTCCTACATTTCCATATCCACAATCCCCAAATCACCTGCCTATTTTTCGAAATTCTAAAGAAACTAAGGTTTCAACTCCCTCAGGCAAAGTTGACCTTAGATGAATTTGGCTATTTGTTTTAGGCATTTTTGTCATATAGCTCTTCAATTGTTTCGGTACTTATACATCCCTCGGATTTCAAATGTTTGGCATTGAGCGTTCCTGATGAAGGTAAATCCAGAAAAGCGCTTCTGACGCATGAAATTATTAAACGTGTTGTTTTCATTTTTTTTCGAACGATATCAAGGACATTTAAACAAAACCTTAAAAAGGGTATGGCAATTTTTACCCGAGGTCAAAAACGTTTTTGTCAAACCTTTCTGTTAAAAAACAACAGATAGGCACAGACACAACAAATCATGATCAAATAAAAGCATGTTTACTACAAAGCACATAGACCATCATTTATGTAAAGCGTGAGATCGGATTCTATTTTAGTAATAATGATAACTTCCTTATTCGTTACATCCTTATTATAATGACAGGAAAAGTGATCTCACGATTCAATTATCTATAACTACAAGCCACTTGTATTTTCTTCCTGGCTGTAAAATTTATTGACAAGTCTTTATACCAACATTTATGAAATAAGATGTATAACTACTATTTATCATTTATGAAATAAGATGTATGAAAACTATATATAAAATTTGTGAAATAAGATGTATAAATACTATATTATCAGTTAAGATGTTTACATACTAAATGATAGTTATAAAATAAGATATATAAATACTAAATAACTTTTATGAAATAAGATGTATAAATAATATATAACATTTATGAAATAAGATGTTAAATACTACGAGAAGATTTTAAGTCACAAATAGTTTTATCACAGATTTGTTGAAATAACAGAGTAATGGGTATTTTTGTATATCGACATGAGGAGCATTGCTTAACGAACGCATTTATATATAAAGTACACATAGAAAACAGTAACATTTTAAGAAGTAGTTTACGAAATGACATATCAAATATTTATTCGATACGGTGCCATTGGCATGTTTGTTTAATGATGCAATTTTAATTAATCTAACTATAAAAACTCTATCGAGTATATAATTGTGCATTTCAAACACATTGAAATTGTGTTTATTAATTTATGCAGAATACAGTTCTGGTAACTTCAACTTCAAACAGAAACTTAAACATTCTTAATTCATTGAAGACCTGTTGGTGGCCTTTTGCTGTTGTCTGTTCTGTGGTCGGGTTGTTGTCTCTTTGACACATTCCCCATTTCCATTCTCAATTTTATTCAGTACTTGTGTACTTTCCAACAAAAATGTAACTAAAGTAAAGTGGTATACCTACCACACTAATGCTTTGAAATGATAAATAAACACCCTTCAATTAAAACTTTGGGGAATTGAAATTAGTAAATATTTGATTTACTTTCAATGTTTATATATTTTTTTAACAGGCGTCACTTCATGAAGTAAAATATATTTTAAATTACATCTACCATGCTAACATATCTTACGACTTTTTTGAACTACTATGATAAATGTTTTATATTGGTTCTGATATTTCTGTTTACTTGTATAAGGATATTTTGAATATTTGGAATCCTTTTAGTACATTCCATATCTTCAGATCAATCGACTTATATTTACTGACCGGACCTAATATAATAGACAAATCGTCGTTAGAGTCTTATTTTTTATGTTCACTTTTGATAAAAATGGAGATAGCCTTACATTTGATATTCAGCTACAATGGTCAATCTCACTTTACAAATACAAAACGAGATTTCTACACTAAACGAGTTTTTGTCAAAGCTAAACTTTTTTGAACATCGGAAATTCAGAGAAGACTATTTTTATTAATTAATTAATTAATCTCCACTATGTTCCAGATATTATTGCTTTAAATAATTGTTATCACAATTATCTTTATGTTAGTAATACTAAGTATGCTTAATAACAGAATTTGTGATAGTACAGAATTCAAAATTCCGATACCAAATAAGGGAAATAATTTCTAAAAGAACATTTCTTGTTTTGTAGTGTTCAATCTCCAGAAAAGGGGGTTCTTTATTTATTTAAAGGGCTTGTTTTTATCCACAAAAAAAAAAAACCCAATTAAGCAAAGAGGGTTTTAATTTCATATTCAATTTTCTGATATTTAGATAAATCGAAATAGCGAACTCCAAGGTAAATGCAAAAGGGGAAATCCATAAAACTGAAACAATCAAACGTTATCAACAAACGGAACGAGTTAAATCAACTGTCATATATTCCTGACTTGGTACAGGAATTTTTTAAGATAATTGTGGGTTAGATCTGGTTTAATAGCTAGCTAAACTTCCCAATTGTATGACAGTTGTCTACATTACTATACGACTCACACGACAAAATGCACCTTCCTCTTTAAATAAACTGATCCTCTTGAAGATACTTGTATTCTTATGGAAACTAGTAGGTAATAGCGTTGAAAAGAATGTATAATACGAGATAATCTTATGTTGAGCTGTTAAAACAGTTTAGGTTTCAAGAATTTAAAACTGTTTTAGTTCTGACTGAATGCAGTTGGATTTTCTCATTTTACAACAGAATATTGTGATAATCTATAGGTTGCACATCTGTAAATATAGACAATGCAATTTAACATATGAACTTCTTTTACGGCTAAGATTGTGCCACTTTTACTATGAAGATTCGTAAAGAAATATATCCTAGAATGGAAAGTTAGTATACACAATCTGTTTTCAAAGGTGAAAACATAGGGCTGTGCGGCATATTTTCAATATGTATATGCCTCAAACTTCAAAGAGCTTAAACTTATACTAAAATTCTGTACTACCCCTGCCTTCTCTTTTGGTCTTCCTCAGAACTCAATTTTGCCTGTATCCATGTGTATTTATACTGGTTATATTCCCAAATTTTGTCTCTATGAGATGAATCATAGAGATCATATTTGGGAACCAGTACGTAAACAAAACAAAATGTCTATGAATAATATACATCTACCCAAAAGAGGTGGGGTTTGTGAAACAGCTGTATTTTAAAAGTGTAAACTTTAAAATGTTCTTTCGTAACATTTTAAGAACTGTATAATTTGACTATACTGTAAAGATTTGTACTTTTCTCATGGCCATTTGATATAATTGATCAATGTACTACTTCCTATTTTCATTCGCATACGACTAAAGTAGACAAGTCTTGATACCTTTTCCTTTTTATTTCGACGAGTGTAGTTTTCTTATTAAAGTTAGCGCAATTGTCTTATTCGGAGTAGTTGTCATGACCTTAGATGGATTTGGCTATTTTTTAAGGCCTTTTAGGTACTATAGCTCTTTAACTGTTTCGGTTCTTATACATCCTTGACTTTCAAATATTTGGCTTTGAGGTTTCCTGGTGAAGGTTAATCCAGAAAAAGCGCGTCGGACGCATGAAATTTATAACATGTTGTTTTCATTTTTTACAGCACTGGGTCGAAACCTCCGCTGGTGAACTTTTAGTCCCCGAGGGTATCATCAGCCCAGTAGTTGGTTCTGACGTGATTCATAACAAACCTTTCTACAACTGTCCGTTAATAAATTTTTAAAATTATTAGAAGCATAAGGTTTCAACTCTCTCATGTAAAGTTGACCCTAGATGGATTTGGCTATTTGGATTTTTTTAAGGTCCTTTTAGGTAATATCGCTCTTCAATCGTTTCGGTTCTTACACATCCTTGGCTTTGAGCGTTCCTGATGAAGGTAAAAAAAAAAGTGTTTTGGACCCATAAAATTTATAACGTATTATTTTCATTTTTTTTTTTTGTATTTGATAACTAAAAAAATATATTGAGACAAATGAAACCCCCCCCCCCCCCCCCCAAAAAAAAAAAAAAAAAGAAAAGATCATATCCATGACAAAGATGTTGGATAAAGTTAGATACTTGAAAAAGAATGAAATTATATTCAAATAAAACAATCCTTAAAAATCGTAAGGATACATTCATGCATGTGTTTAACTGTATTCTTATTATTGACTGTTCTTATGTTACACATATATTAATGGCGAACAATTGCGAGTAAAAAAAAAATCATCAAAGATGTTTATGATTTTGTACGCCTGATGCGTGTTTCGTCCACAAAAGTCTCAAGTATCTATGGTGAGTTTGTATTGGGGTTTTACCGGCAAAGAGAATGCTGTTAAGCTAAATAACGACGTTTTTCTCACGACGTTTTACCTCTATAAACCCGGGTTGTCATGGCGGGTCAAATGTGTGTGTGTGTGTGTGTGTGTGTGTGTGTGTGTTTGTGTATGTGTTTGTATGTTTCATATAGCTCATTATTTTCTTTTTATATAAATGTGCAAAGATTTAAAGACTAACGAAAAATCCGACAACTCATCAAATAATTCGGACAATTTGATAAACTTCGTAAAAAATAGATGGAGAATATTAAGTACATTTAAAACAAGAATGGATACATCTTTTA